AACGAATGAGATAAAACGGTTAAGAAACCGTAACGATCAGATTAACCAAACGAATGAGATAAAACGGTTAAGAAACCGTAACGATCAGATTAACCAAACGAATAAGATAAAACAGTTAGAAAACTACAACGATCGGATTGATCGAACGAATGAGATAATAAAACAGTTAGAAACCATAACGATTGGATTAACTGAACGAATGAGATAAAACAATTAGAAAACCACAATGATTGGATTAACTGAACAAATGAGATAAAACGGTTAGAAAACCGCAACGATCGGATTGATTGAAAGAATGAGATAAAACGGCTAAAAAGCCACAATGATCGAATGAACGAAAAAGTAGAGTATCTGGGCCTAATGAGTGTAAAATGCAACAAAAAGGCTAGATGAAAGCAATGATGAAAAGATCTATAGCCATGAAACATATGCAAGAGAAACAATCTTCATATATAAGATAAAGTAGAAATGAAAAGAGGTTAAGAAACTTCTCTGAACATGTTGGATGTCCATATTTGACAAGAGTCTTGTGTCTTTCATGTTGCACACTCATCAATCAGTGATTATTCCTATGTAGCAGCTCGGTAGATTCACATTTGTGAATACCTTATGGAATGCCAAAGGTAGAGAATCTCATTTGTTTCCCATGAGGAGATATTTGAAAATATTGCCCCAATAAGTAGAACTTTCATTTGCTATTGGAACTTCAGCTAGCATGGATGACTTCTTAGCTATCGAATTCAGCTTCCTTTCTGCATGTAATCCTCATCCAACCTTTCAAATTCATCAAGAGATTTTGATTAGATAAACAAATATACTAACTGAAATAGTGTCTCATGCTCAACTAGCATCCCCAATACTGAATAAAAGGTAAGGCTAGAATAAAGTGTGAACAAAATGATTACAAAGATTTATTTCATTAGATTCAACCAAGGTTTGGATGATCAAAAGGTCAACTTTGGATAGTGAAAAAAGAAGTCTGGTCAATAATACAAGATTTTGATGCAACTGGTTATAAGATATTCAGACCATAAATCGTTGCTTCAAATCATCTTTTCTTTGCAACTCTGCCCCTCAGTTCTTTAGTCCATGAGAGAGAGTCTCATTCCTTTTCTGAATATTGACACTTCAAATCTTCCCTTTTCATGAACTAACTCTCATGCTCAAAATAAGAAAGTTTCCAACTGCCAATATCTAGAGTCCAAAGCCTTGCTGTTTCCTTTTTTTTTTTTCTTTTTTTTTCTTTTTTTTTTTTTGTGTTCCTTGACAAAGAAAGCTTTAAACTCTCAGATAAGGACTTTCATACGAACTTGTAATGTGGCTTGGGGTTAGGTTACAATGAAAGAAAGGATAAAGGTTCAAAATCCATATGTTCCCCTCACATCTCTCTCCTCACTTCCCCGGTCATTAATGTGGGTTAATAGAAAGAAAATCATTCTGGCTTTTGTAAGTTTGAATGATTGCCTTTTTTCTGGCCCAAAAAGGGTAAGCATAGGGGTAATGTTCAACTGTTTAGGGTAGAGAAATAGGGCCTTTCATCACTGGGTTTTCAACTTTCCAAGTGAGGGAAATATTTAATTTGTTAGGTCACCCTTTCGAGTTTTCAACCTAAATTTTTTTTTTTTTTTTAGCAATAATACATTTTGACAGCATTGGCATTCACTGGGTGATGATAATCAGTTCCATTTGGATATCTCAACAAGAGTGCTCCTTCGGAGAAAGATTCTTTAACAACATAGGGCCCTTCATAATTCGGTGTGAATTTGCCCTAGGGTCCCTTTCATTTGGCATGATCTTTCTTAAGACAAGATCTCTTTGATGAAATACTCTCGATTTGACTTTCTTGTTGTAAGCTATTACCATTTGTCGCTGATAACACTGACCGTGACAAAGAGTTGCCAATCTCTTCTCATCAAGCAAGTTGAGGTGATCTATCTTTTTCTGAATCAAATCTTCTTCCTCAATATTGACTCGGATAAAATTCTCATGGAAGGAATTTCCAGCTCAATTGGTGGTACTACCTCCATTCCATATACCAAGGAATAAGGGGTTGCCCCAGTTGAAGTGCGAATAGAGGTTCTATAAGCATGGAGAGCATATGGCAACATTTCATGCCAATCTTTGTAAGTAACTGTCATTTTAGCTAGAATCTTCTTGATATTCTTGTTGGCAGCTTCCATCGCACTATTCATCTTCGGTCGGTGTGGAGAAGAGTTCAAATGCTTGATCTTGAATTGCTTGCCTAGTGTAGTCATCATGTCATTGTTCAAATTGCTTGCATTATCAGTAATGATGGCCTCTGGTTGCCCATATCTGCAGATGATTTCTCTCTTGATGAAGCGAGTGACCACCTTCTTGTAGCATTAGCATAAGATGTTGCTTCTACCCATTTGATAAAATAATCAATAGAAACCAAGATAAATTGATGACCATTGGAAGCTTTAGGATTAATTGCCCCAATCACATCAAGGCCCCACATGGAGAACGGCTAAGGAGCAGACATATTAGGCAGTAATGAAGGTGGAGCACTAATATGATCAGCATAAATCTGACATTTGTGACAAGCTCGTGCATATTTGATGTAGTCATGTTCCATAGTCAACCAATAATACCCAGCTCAGAGAATTTTTCTGGCAAGCATTCTTCCATTGGCATGTGTTTCACATATCCCTTCATGAACCTCAGTCATGACTTGTTTTGCTTCTGTTTCATCAACACATCTCAACAAGGTCATATCAGTAGAGCACTTATACAATGTATTTCCGCTCAAGAAGTATGAAGCTGCCAATTTTCTGATTGTCTTCTTATTCACCTCAAAAGCATGTAGAGGGTATTCCCCATTTGCAAGAATTGTTTAATATCATGAAACCATGGTTTGTCATCAACCTTGATTTCCATGCAATGTGCAGGTTCTTGACTAATTTTAATCTTTAAAGGCTTGATTACATCATCATTGGAGATTTGGATCATGGAGGCTAAAGTAGCCAAAGCATCCATGAATTGGTTCTTGGTAAAGAGATGAATCTGAATTTCTTGATGAGAGTTTCAAGATATTGGTGATAAGGAATAAGTTTTGGATCCTTGGTTTGCCAATCGTCATTCATTTGACATATGATTGGTGCTGAATCACCATATATCTCCAAATCTTGGACATTCATATCTAGAGCAACATGTATTCCTGCAATACAAGCTTCATATTCGACTATGTTGTTGGTACAAGCAAAATCCAGCTTTATAGCAATAGGAAAATGATCACCCTTTGGGGATACCAACACAGCTCCAAGGCCACAACCAAGCTGGTTAATAGCTCCATCGAAGAAGAGCTTCCAATTATTTGAATCAGATTTTGCCTCTATTGCCAAGATGTCCTCATTAGGAAAATCCCAATCAATAGGCTCATAATCCTCTACTACATGTTCGGCTAAGTGATCTGTAATGGCTTGCCCTTTGATGGTTTTTTATGTTGTGTAAACAATATCAAATTCAGAAAGCAACATATGCCATCGAGAGATTCTTCCAAAAAGGGGCAACATATGCCATCGAGAGATTCTTCCAGAAAGGGTAGGTTTTTCAAAAATGAATTTTATGGGATCCATTCTTGAAAGCAAGTAAGTGGTGTTGGTTAACATGTAGTGGCGAAGTTTCTTGGATGTCCAGACTAAGGCACAACAAGTTTTTTCTAAGGGTGAGTATTTACTTTTACAATCATTGAACTTCTTGCTCACATAATAGATGACTCTTTCTTTCTTGCCTGAGTCATCATGTTGGACAAGGATTGCTCCCATGGATTCTTCAAGGACAGTGATATATAGGATGAAAGGCCTTTTATGGCAAAAATATGACATAAGGACCCGAACTTACACCAAATTCATAATTTCGAACCCAAACTTCGATTGCGCTCAATGAAGGTCCCGAACTCCACGAAATTCTCAAATAAGGTCCCAATTAGACGGAAAACTAACTTTCGTCAAATCTCCTATTATTCCGTTAATGTTCCGTCACATTTCACACCCGCCACTTGAAAAAAATTGGTTAAATGCTAATTTTGGTCCCTCAACTTCATTGAGTTTCACTTTTTTGTCCCTCAACTTCATTAAATTTCACTTTTTTATCCCTCAACTTTATTGAATTGTACTTTTTTGGTTCATAAATTATTTTTTGTACTTTTTTGGTCCTTAAATTATTTTTTACACTTTTTTAATCCCTTAACTTTAATAACTGCACAATTTTGATACTTTCATCAGTTTAAGCCATTAACTCCGTCCACTTGGTATTTTTTATATTTTTTTGATGACATAT